CTTGACCTGCTTTGTTATTTTTCCACCCTCTTCTTTTCCTTTTCTCACGTCCAGGAGGCCATCATCCAAATAATGAAGATGAGGAAGCGCATCAACAACGCTCAGCTGCAGACGGAGCTGGTGGAAATCCTAAAGAACATGTTTTTACCACAGAAGAAGATGATCAAGGAGCAGATTGAGTGGCTGATAGACCATAAGTACATAAAGCGGGATGAGACGGATATAAACACCTTCATCTACATGGCATAGCAGAGCACATTAGGACGACTTGTTCTGACTTTGGTTTCAGTGGATCAGGCCTGATGGACACTAGAATACTTCCAGGCTCCCCGTCCTTTATTTAAAAAAACAAAGAATCCTGTGCAGGGAGGCATGAATTTTAAGACTGAGTCCTATTTAAAAAAATTCAACTTCCTCCCTTAAAGTTGTACAGACATAAAAAAAAACAAAAACAAAGACCAGTTGCAGTGGGAGTCTGCACCAAGTGATCATAAGTATTTTTAGTTACGGCGGGGTTCCTCTGCCGTCCAGATGAGGCTGTTAATCTTTAATGGTCTGCTTGTGATGCAGTGGTGCATCATCGGGGCAGCCACTATAACACTCCTGCTCAGTGCTTGCACACTTCTGAAGGCATGCTGACAGGAAAAGGCCGAGGAACTCAAAATACCTGCAGTCCACTTTTAATCCATGCCAAATCCACATCATCTGAACGTTGAATAAAGCGCCGCCCGCGTCCCTCGAAGGCTGCTATAACCTGTTTATGGTGGCGGCTCTCTGCAGTTAAAGTGATCAAACACTTAATCTGGACTTTGTGTGAATAAATAAACAAAACAAGATAAGCACTTCACAGTTTGCAGGACTGAACCAGACAACAATCTAAAGCCAGCTCCAGACTCCCTCAAGCCTCTGGCCCTGGGTAAAAAGTTAGAATCCGAGTCCCTGCGACAAAATGTACCCAGGAACAGAGGTGGGGGTGACGCCAGGAAGCCTGGGAGAGGAGGCTGAGGTCAGTATTACACATGGTTAAAAACTACAATTCAAAGCTATAAGAAAGTGTACTGTGAGATGTGAATAATGAAATGATGAAATAAACAGCACCTTATTATAAAACAACATGTAGGCTTGTCTTTCATCACATGAACAGTTTAGGTGATTTCTTTTTTTTAAAAGGAAGCCCTAACAATCCTCTTAATTGCCCTCAATTGAGGTATATTTGGAGTCATTTACAAGCCTGTTTCCAGGCAGAGCTAAGAGCAGTGTACGCTTCCTTCACTCAAATATGTTGTTCATAGAAGCTTTAAAGAGGTTGAAGCTCCAGCAACTCTAAACTAGGATAAAAAAAAAACCAGCTTTATTAGTTGATCAGCACCACAAGCCAAAACGCGTTAGTCAAGTAATAAAGCTGCTGTTTATACTGCAAGTGTTGCTAGAGCCTCGACCTCTTCAGACCCTTGGTTCTTCTAAACGAACCTAGGAAGTAGGTGAAGTTATGCTAGAAACCTCCATTCTGTGTCAAGAAGCTATCAATGAATCATTTTTCCCAAAGCTACACCTTGTAACCAAGCAGGAAGAGACTGTGGAGAATGCAGTGTAGGTTTATAATAGACTGCCAGTTGTTTTGTTTTCACACAAAGTGTCTCTTATAATTTGGCACTACAGCAAGTTTACTTTAGCCCAGAGGTACCCAGACTTTCCTGGGATCAGTTGCTAGTTTGGAATAAAACAAGAAGCCCACTGTTTAAAAATGTGCTCATTGGAAGCATCACAAAGAAGGACGATGAGCCAGTCGCGGTGCCGTGCTCCTCGGTTTCTCCGGCAGATTCTCTCCTCACTCGTCACCACCGGTTTTCAGTCATACATGTACTCCTTTTCGAATTTTAGCCATGTTCAAGTAATCCCTGTGAGCTGAAAGCTCAAGATTCAGACTCCTTGAAACACCCATGGTATGATCATCTCAGGTATACGGCTCTGGATGTGAGCACAAAAACCCCACCTACCCCCTGTGTCAGACAGAGTGGAACTGATGGATGGATCAAGCATGAACCAAGTAAAACTTATTTTGAACCATTAATCATGAAAGGCTTCCTTCAGCCTCCATTTATAGGCCAGGAGGGCTGTTGCAGTTTCTTGTGTTAATAAACACCCAAGGTTCGCCTATCGGATAACACTCTGGTATGGTAGTTAATTTAATAGTGAGTAAATCTAAGATGTTACAGCTAAGTGCTGCTATAATGAGTACAACTTCGAGCTCATCTAAAATGTTCTTTTTTATTATTATTATTATTATTATTATTAATTTGCAGGATCGTGGTCCAAAACCAACAGTAAATACTGATGCAAGGTGAAAAGTTATTAAGCGACCAAAATACATCATCTTTATGAACTTTAGTAATAATTATATCAGTTGTGTTGTAAAAGTACCCTCTTGTAGTCCAGGGCCAATCAGAGATCACCAATAATTCTGGCATAGATTCTCTTGGGACAACAGCTGTCCCAGGTTTTTGTGCCTATACGTCATGCTGATTTTAACATACACTATTTAGACAAAAGTATTTATCTCTTTGAATTGCTGCAGGTGCACCTTGCCATGCAGTCTCCCTTTACAAACATTTGTGAATGAACAGGTTGTTCCAAAGAGCTCATAGAATTCGAGTGTGGTGCTGTAATAGGATGCAATCATTGCAACAAGTCCTCCCTCTGAGATATTACAGTATTTAAGTAGCCTTATTGCAAAGTGGAAGCAACAGCAACTAGTCTCCAGCCACGTAGTTGGAGAGCAGAGTCACCAGTGCTAAGGTGCATAGTGCCTAACAGTCGCCAATGCGTCTGCAGAGCTCCAGACTCCCTCCTATCATTAACATCGGCAGAAAAACGGTGCAATGGGAGCTTCATGGTATGTGTTTCTATGGCCAAGAAGCTCCTATGTGGGTGGCCCGGTGCTTTTGTCCATATAGTGTACTTCACTGGATCAGTGAAAACTTTGACCAACTAGTGATGCTGGAGGAAAGGCCACTTGGTTCTCTTAAAATAAGTGGCACTCATCCTCTGGGGACCATGAAATTTTCTTTTCATTAAACATGGAGATATTTTGAGCACTTAGAATTAGATTTTGTTTAACAAAATTGTGTTTTTTTTTTCTTCCCATCATTAAATCTGACGCTCACGTTAAAGGCAGCTTGTTCACCTGTAGATAAATGATATTCCCAGCAGCATTATAAAGGTGGTCACTGAACAGCAGATGGTGCCAGAGCCTCAGCAAAAAAATCTGGACTCTACACAGCAGTGAGTGTGCATATGAAAATCCATCACCTTAAAAAAAAAACCTCCTTTACACGCACTTGTGGAGGTATAATTCACCTCAGTTTCTCACTGGTAAGGTAAGCTTGCACGGGCTTGATGTAACTAAGTACTGTACTCTCAGGAAAACTTAAGGAAAAATAAAACAACTATTAAGCTCCAACGTTTTTGCTCATATGTTAATTCATCAAGAGCGAAATATTTAAAGTTTTTTTTTTTGTTTGTTTGTTTGTTTTTTGAAATCCAGTGATGCTTTTGTCACGCAAAAAGCTCCAAAACTCCTGAAACGTGAGGCGGTTCCGTTTTATTTTTAAATAGTTATTACTTATAATTTTTAAGATTTGGTTTTAAAACACAAATGATGCACAATGATGTCACTTTTGACTCTGGGTCACGTATCACTATTTTTCTGTTTTTCAAAAATCAGTCAGTTAATTAGGAAATTAAATGAGCAATGGCAGAGTTCGTGAAGACTATTAAAATCTCATCATCACCTTCTTTTTAATACTTGGTAATTGTTATATTAAATTTCCTCGCCAACACTTTTGCTTTACATTTGAAATTGAGGGCTTACTGCGTGAATTTGTTGCGTTTTTGATGAAAGGACTGCACGATTGCACTTTGCAAAGCACAGATCTTGTGTTTTAATTTGTAAAGAGAAATATCAAATAAACCTAGCTGTGTTTATTTTTGTTTTAATGACCTTAACTGTTACATAAGTGGAAACCTGTAATTGGGCGGATAGTTTCCTTAATTACAGCAGATTGCGTCCTCTTGTTATTTGTGACAAAGGGGATTACAGCAGGCCCGTTAACTGAGCGCATGCGCACTGTGTACAGCCCAATATTGAGGATTCCCGTTACGAGGAAGCAAAGGAGATACACAATTTCCCATTTGTACCTTCAAAATAAAACGCACTGAAGCGCGGTGTTAACAAACCCTCTGGTAGAACTAACAAATCAGGTGCTATTTCTTCCCGAGAAAAAGTCGGCTAAATGTGGAAAATGAGGTAGAAAAGGAAATTCAGCTTAAAATTTGGTGTTTTACAGAAGTGAGTACGGAGTGTAACCAAAGTTGTCAGTTCAAGATAAACACTTTAAAAGATCCCAAAAGCGCAATATATGCAGACAATAATTCAAAGTTAAAATATCAATAACTAAGTAAAAATACCTGTCTCTATGGACGTCACAGTATCTGCCATTTTGATTTCAGGCATGAAGCTGGCACCTGTCCAGGATATTTTTATCATCTTGATAACAGTCGCCTTCGACCACGGTAATCAGCTTCTACTCAGTTAGTAGTTAATGTTATGGTTTAACTGCTCTTTGAGTCGAGTTATGGCTTGGAAATGGCACAATGTACCAATTAGCATGCACTTGCTAGCGACTTATGAGCAAAATTTGCTTTGGTGAAAGAAAGACTAAAGGACAAGGAACTAAAGACTAAGTGTCCTTTTATTTAAATCAAACACAATATAATACACAATATAATGTGCGAAAAATTACATATTTTTATTTTGTAATTAATTCATTTTTTAGAAGTAAACGTTAAGCTCCTGGTCATCTTAATTAGGGGCTGGGGGTTGTTTTATGGCGCCCCCTGCTGTTTCGCTGGCTATATTACAGGTCATGTGTGTACATTTTTTAAAAAAAATTTTATTTTGAAATCAAGAGAGCGGAACTTCTCGTTTTCCATCCGCAGCTTGACGCTGCTTGGGTAAGGAGAGGAGAGGAGGAGAGAGGAGCTCCGTCGGCGGACCAGGGAGCGCGTGGAGAGGAATCCCAGCAGCCCCCACCCCCCCTAGCCCCGGAGAGCGAGAGCCGGACCGGCTGGATCCCCCTCCTCCCTCGCCCGCTCCCCCCCTGCGGAGGAGGACCCGAGAGAGACCCACGTTGCCACGGGAGAGGCCTCGGTTCAGGTGAGGGTGCTGTTTTAAGCCGCTTCAGGCTGCTCTCCCCCTTGGCAGGCAGGTGCTGTGTGAAGGGCTGCCGGAGATGGAGAGTCGGCGATCAGCGAGTTAAATCTCGGTAGATTCGATATCCTGTTACTTACTTGTCGTATGATTTACACGGCCTCTGTGTCCAGGGCTGCCGAGCCGATAACAAGAGGTGAGGATGGGGGGTGGGAGTGAACTCGTATTGCACCGGTGTGAAAGCAGCTTTTACTTTGCGCAAAAAGAGCGCTATATACTGTGCATCTTGGACGGGAGAGCCACTCTTCCAGGCTTTACTGGTCTTGCCTGTGCATTTCAGGGCTTGCAGCATATCCACTGTTTCAAAGGTGCTTAGTCTTTTACCTTCTCGTTTCATATTTACAATGCACAGCCACAGTTGCAGTAAATCTGTGTGGGAGCCATATCTGAGCGAGCTGCTGTTACCCTCACCAAATATCACTCACATCAGTAGTAATGGCTCCTGCTGGAAAATTAAAGCCTTTCTCAGTAAGTTTTCCTCTCAAACAGGGACTTTCTGCGTGACTCTGTGCTGCCTGTTTTTCTCCCCCACTCCCCTCGGAGTAATAAATTAGTAATTGCACAACTATATTGTTCTGCAGAGAACCCAGAGGGGAGTGGATGCACATTAATAGTCTATGTTTGGACCACTTGCCAGCTTTCAGGGTCTAAAAGTGGACACTCTCAGCATGTTTTTACTGGCATTCAACCTTAATCCGATTCATGCCAGGTAAACTGTGTAAACCCAATAATCGCTACTTCATATGTGCCATTATTGTTCATTAAAGAGAAGATAATGGTCAAAATGTCAGCTTTTTGTCGGGTTTACCTAACACCTTATAATAATTAAAAACCACATAATGTAACATTTATCTATCTCATCATATAAGTGTCATATGAGTAGCTAAAAGTGAAACAGTCTGGCCTGGGTGGACTTTGGGCATAAGTGTTGTGTGTTACGGCCAAGCCCACAGAAGCACAAGGAGATACTGCAGAGGGGAGATCACGATGCTGGGAGGATGGGGGAAGCTGGGATAGCCCTCCTCCGTGATGCAGGAGAGAGGTGGGGGCGGTGGATGAAGGATGGTCTGGCACACCCTTCCCTCTCCTCTCTCTCCCTCTCTTTCCGTGGTGTTCTGGTGCATTACTCCTCCCTGTTCACTTCAGAGCGTAATCAGTCTGTCAGCAGAAGCAGACTCAATCAGTCACTCCCTGACCACCACCACCACATCCAGATCCACCTGAACACACTCTGATATCTGACCACACATTCACCACATCCTTCCTGTGGGGTGCCTCGGCCTTAAGCTCAAATCGGTTCAATAATCTTTATTTTCCGTTGTTGTTGTTTTTGTTTTTGTGACTCAAAGTGTTGTCTATCCATACAAAACCAGATGGAAACGTGCAATATTCACATCACTCTTTAAGTTAACAACGCTACAGCCCACCTACACTGCATTTCTGCTCTACATACACCCTTATCATCTCTAGTGTGTGAATTTCCTGCATGCGTCGTGAGCAACAGCTAAAAGAACAGAAGAACAGCCTCTTACTGTGATTCCAGGGTGTGTGTGGACTCATTTGCACATCATTATTCAGTGATGCCTTCTCCCCCCAGATCTGATTAGATACGTGTTTTTCTGACTAGCTTAGAAGACTCGTTGCCATTCAGTGCTGTGTCCCAGGAGCTGTCCGTGGTCCTTAGATTGCTGTGCGTAAATGCTAGCACTTGGGTGTGAATGGGGGAATGAGACATTTTGCGGAAAGCGCTTTCAGTGTTTAAGTAGAGTAGAAAAGCTTTATATAAAAACCAGTCTATTTAACATTAACCATTAATGCTCTTAAAGGAACTCTCTGTCTCTTTGCTGGTATAATATGGAGGTAATTTCATTGGTTCCTCTATCAAGAATCCACAGGAGAAGGCAGGCGTGCCCCAAGCTCCTAATTTGCTAACAGATTAAATGGAAATATGCCTACAGACTTAACAGCTTACCTAAAAGTAAGAAGAACCTGAGTGTGGGTAAGGTTAAGCAAAACACACAGTAGAGTCATTGTTTGTGAGTTTACTCTGACACACAGAAAAACTTCTCATTTGGAAGTTGTAGGAGTGCAAAGACTGCATTTCGAGATCTACACATGACTTTATTTGAATTGTTTTAGTACAGACTTGTAGCAAAGCATGAAGTGGTGATAAAAACAAACATTTTTTTTTATCATTTAGCATGAATGTGTAAGTAATTTTTGCTTTATAAGACCTGGTAACCACTTTATAACCGTGTTATAAGCCAAACCTTTATCTTTTCCTAAACCTGACTGTGTAGTTTTTCATCCCTCACTGTGTCACTGATACTTGAATTTGGTCCAGCTCTTCCATTTCTCTCAGTCTCCGTCTTATCAGACTGATCAGAGTCAGTCGCTCCAAAACAAATATTTCACTCACTGTTTTCAGCCATTCATCTTGCCTTGGTGGATCTGGCTTGTGGCATCGCTTTGTGATTGCTTTCTTACAGGCTACTAACAAGATTTTAAAGCTGTCTTCTCTTCTACTGACACAATATTTCCTTCCATATTACCTAAATATGGTACCTTGGTATATGAAAGCCCAGTATTTGGCAATCACCAAAATTTCAAAAAATTGTACTGAATTCTCGAAAACCGCGTTCTCTTGAAGTATGTGATGATATAGTGGATTGTTGTGTCTCCGTATTTGCAACCGTTCATCCTCAGAAATACTCACGCGTTACTTTTCCCATTTCTGTTTAACATATAGTGCTGTAGTTCCTGTTCTCCTCATTGTTGGTATAATTTAGATATTATTCTATAATTGAAAATATCTGAAGTGGTCCTTTTTGTACATTGTAAAGCTTTGTTTTATGTCCTGAAACCAAATGAAATCCTTTTAATTAATAAGCTATCAAAAAAAGTAAACTTTTGTCTCTGGCATGAGCGTCAAAGCGATTCACTCCATCACCAACCCACCAAACCTCCAAATGCAGATTTTTTTTTCCCTATGCAAGTGGAAAATGTGCATTCTGTAGATATGAGGGCGGACTGCTGAAGAAAACGTGTTCAAGGACTCAAAAATGGACTCATGTAGAACCTGACTTGACTTCACTTTATTTTCCCAAGTAGGGAAACTTGTTGCGCAGCAGCTTGTGTGATTAAAACCAACAATGCACAAAAATGTTAATTTATTTCATTCCAATGAAATGAATTTACTTATATATATTACTTTTATATCTCTTAGTTTTAAATCTTTGGAAGTTTTGACTTTCTTCCCAAGCAGAAGTCCTGAAATTCTTCTGGTGAAGGATATTTCTGTCTGGCTTAATGCATCTGCCACAAAACTGAAATTAGTAAATTAAAAAATATGAGTCTGCATTGATTATTTTTAATATGTTATTAACTTAAAATAGGTTGCTGTGATTATTAAAAATTTAGGTTAGGTTTATGGATTAAAACACTAACGGGTTAGTGTTTAGAAATGTCATGATTTGAAAGCTCAGATTTCTTGGTTGACATGGTGACACAGCCCCCGAATTTATCTGGACAAGCTGCAGAAAGAAAATATGCCAGACTTTTTGCTAAAAATACATTACCCACAAATCCCTGTCGACTATCAAGAAAAACACGTGACATTTTGTGTCCAGGAACGCGAACAAAGATTGACTCTTTTGTGATTGATTCAGCGTGGTCCCACCCAGTGCTGTGTAACAGGAGCTCTCCGTGGGACGAATACTCTTCGTGGTGCTGCAGAAGAGGCTCGACAGAAGGAGGCTCGAGTCAGAAAACAAAATAATGCGATACTCTTTGCATTCATTTTTCACTAGAGGGCTGTCAGTGTTTTCTCATTATAAATCCAGTGCCCCTGCTTCTTTAACAGCGGTGCTCTTTCACCCCCTCCTTAAAGCTCAAACTTGCTTAATGTTTTGGTTCATGTAAGCAGAAGAGAGCATTCCTACAGTAAGATCAATCTGGAGGAAGCCTAACAGTGTTTCTTATAAATGAAGTTTAAGAAAATTACTGCAAAAAAAACATGTTGTTGAATTCAGTTATCTGCATGATGTTGGTAACTTAATGAATAATCAATAAGTGTGGATTACAATAATAACCCAACCGCAGATTTATTTTTTCAATTAGTTTGGCATTCACATATGTCAAAATCTTGCCATTTTGCCATCATCGATACTCTGCGATGCATCAGCCTGCACTGGGCAGCACCAGTCGAATGACATCAATGTTGACATCTGCTGACCAGCAGCTCTTCCTGCTCAGTAATGCAGGCATAGCACAATGAAGCAAGGGCAGCTGGCAGTCTGCACCTTTGCTCGAATTCAGCCATTTGCTCATGTGTGTTGTTCACTCACAGCGAAGATCATAGATCATTCTGGGACTGCAATCAGTTTATTATCACTGCCGCGGCCTCTCCACCAAAATCTGTAACCTCACAAGATGTCAGGCTTCTAACACTGTTGTGTAAACAAACAGGGGAACAAGCCCAGTGTCAGAAATGAGGAAAAAGCGAGCATTGTGAATAATTTGTTTTCCGAGATCAACAGTTTAGAGCGCAGTTGAAGATTAATATTTGCTGCTGGAAGCAATGCATTAAACAACATGTTGTTATTACATCAGCGTTGCTCACATTTGTCAGAAAGGGCCCTTTGTTTCCTCATTCTTATTGATCGCTGATTGGCTGACTTTTCCCTCCAGCGTTTCACCTCTCTCCAGTGCATGAGCCGTCGTTTTCTTAATCATGTCTCCATTGTTTTGGGGGAGAGATTTGTGCTTTGTGTGAGCTGGGAATTCTTTAACTGTCATTTTGTCCTTTCAAAAGTCTTCCTCCTCCTCCACACTCCTCCTCAGCTACATCAGGATTTACCTCATTTATTCATTCTGACTGCTTTCACTTCCAAACAAAATCTGCCATGGTCACTTCTAATGGTTAAATTTTGATAATTCTATTGAAT